ATAAATCCGTGGGAAAATCCGTCGGAAAGTTACCCACGGATAAAAATCCGTCGATAAATATTTCAGACGAGCAATTTACCGACGGATTAGTGTCTGTCGGTAATCCGTCGGAAATGCACTATTACCCACGGATTTTTGGCATTTCCCACGGATTCTGGCCGTCTGTAATAGCAAATTTTCTTGTAGTGAAGAAGTGCGAGTCATAATTAAAAACAAGATGACCCAAAAATAAGAAAAAACAAATTTAAGGGACACTTGCACAGGATAAGGGGTTCATCAACCATTATGGAAAAGAAGAAGACACCATTCTAGCAGTCGTACACCACTCCCACGATCTCAACTGAGCCATGAACACGATCTCTTCCACCTTAAAGAGTTTGTCTTTGAAAATGTTATCATTTCGAGCCTTCCATAACTGCCATATACCTGCAAACCAAACAAAGGACCAAACTCGCTTAATACCCTTACTGCCACTCACCAATCTCATATATTGATGACAAAAACTCCTAAGTTCGTTGATAAGCACCCCTGACACTCCCCACCAAGCGTATAATATGACCCAAACAGCATAAGCCTTTGGACACAAGAAGAACAAATGTTTGCTGGACTCCAAGCCCTCTTTGCAAAAAACACAACCATTTTGTCCTTCCAGATTAACCTCTCTCAAAAGGAGGTTATCCCAGGTAGGTAACTTGTCCGCTTCCAACTGCCACACTAAAACTTGAACCTTAGGAGGGATACCTTTGACCCATATCGTATCATAAAAAATGTCTACTTGAACATGGTTTGACTTTGCTAAAATCTTATACGCAGATGCCACCGAATGTAAGAAATTTTACAAATTAACATAAACTAATTTTAACTTATAAAAAGAATTGTTCCATTTTTTTTTACATTTTTTCTCTTATAAATATTTATTCAAAACTTATTCCAACATAAATATAAGCTATAGAATAATCAAACACTTAAAAATTTATATGACAATATATCCTAACCGATTATAAAATGTGGACTCGATTTTGACTAGTTTTACCCGCCGCTTGAGAGATTAAAACCCGCATCAACAATCGAGACAGGACGAAATGAGTTTGGTTCAATAAGTTCCACTTTGTCCAACATTTCACACTATCAAATATTTTTATTTAATCATAACAATAATTATATTAAATATTTAATAAACTTGATGATATGATGATTTTTTTTAAATATGAATAAAAAAATTATCTAACTACACATAATAGGGCGTAGTTTTAATAATTTCTTGCATGACGGTTTGTTCATGCGGTGACCGGTAACTTACTCACCCAGTATTTTTCGAGTTGCACTACATATCATATCATGCTTAATTAAACATTTGTAAAACTTTAAACAATAATTATTTTGGAATTATTAGAAGTATTAGAAATTAGAAAAATTAATTAAGGTTTGAGGATTCCAAAATTTAAAATCATATCGTATATATGGTCAACAAAATAATAATAATAATAATAATAATAATAATAAATATTTTAATTTTTTTATATTTTAAAAATAATAAACAAATTTTAAATATCCTTAAATATAGAAATTAATATAATTGTATTTTTTTACTCTCTTTCTGTTTATATATCATTTATTGAGAGAGAAAATATGTATATATTATCAAGTCAAAATAAAAAATTATTTAACAGTTACTTTTAGGTAATTAAACGTATTTAATAGGATGTGTTTTAATTAGATCTGTCAAAATTAATCTGATGAGAATAGACTTCTTAATTTTATGTCGGAAAAAAACTTGGCCAAACGTAGATTAAGTTGGACTAATAAAAGTTAGACCCGAAAAGTAATGGTTTATTTGGCCGATGTTTTTCTTTTTGGTAAATTATATATAAAATTAATTATAAAAAAAACATGTGTATAGAATGTACAACAAAAAAAATCATTAAAAGGTTAATTGTTTTAGTTTTAAAATTAAAAAAAAAAATTCTATAAAAGGACAACTGCATCAGCAGGTTTCACAAACAGCTATATATAACTTTCATCGGCACATTTTTCCATCTTGATAAATACATTTTTATTATTTTTCCACCTATTGGTTATAGGATTTACGTACTTACGAGTGATGATTGATGATGATAAACATACACCCCTCATTTTTATGTGGATTAGGGTGGAAAAATAGGAAATGGGAAATAAAGTTGTACTTGTAGAAAATGCTTAAATTTATTTTAAATTTGATGAAAATTTCTGGCTTGATTGAAAATGGATGTAAGTATTACTTGATTATTAAATCAGGTACAAGATATACATTAATATATACTTATCTATCATGTAATCCTTATTTTATATTTTTAAGAAATTTAATTCATTTTTTTATAATTAAATTGAAATTTATATAATTTTTTTTAAATATTTTAAATATATGTTTGATGAGATTTAATTAATGTAATTTTGTAATTACTATTTTAAGTTAGAATTTTATAGTATATGTTTTAAGTATTTTACTTTAATTAATTTTTAGATATATATGAAACAAATACAAGTATATATAATACAAATATAAATATATATGATACTTGATGAAGACAGAGACAAGGACGACATAAATTTTATATTCGTTGAATATGAAAACATGAATGAATATAGCGTACAAAATCATAAACAGGAATGGAAATATAAAAACTTGCACCCACTCTATCTCATTGTCATCCTCATAAAAAAAATAAAGATAAGAAGCGACAAAAAAACAAAGGTAAAATTATTTAATACAATGCATAATGTGATAAAAATTAACACAAAATGAGATGTTAAGAAAATACGGCAGACATAAGATTAAAAAAATATGTATATATTTATATTTTCTCTATTTAGAAATTCTAAATAATTACCGAGTTCCAAATTCACTAGTCACCCATCAACTATTTATGGTAATGAGAAAGCGAGTCATATATTGTTTTTTCTCCTGCTATATGTATCTCTAATTAGAGACTAATTCTATTTGTGATAGTATAATTATTGCTAACTCAATGAAAGAATGAATAATATGAAGTTAATTGGACAAATTAATTTAAGTACAATATTTGAGTTTTATGTATTTTTAATATAAAAGTTATATTATTAATTAATCATAAATTATATTAAGTACGATTTTAAGGTAACTATTATATAAACCAATAAAATTAACATATAATATGACAATTATAATTGGATGACATATTAATTTCAATGTAAAATTATATTTTTGGTCTCTCTAAAATATTCTACCCATAATTTTTGTCATCTTAATTTTTAATTTTATAATTTTAATTTCTCAATGTTTTTTCCCACTACAAAGTGTTTCATCAGTTGATTATTAAAGTTGTAACATTGATCATAGTTTGATATTTGAGTAGATATAAGAAGATAATAAATACTAATATTTTATATTAATTTGAACTTTTATATCCATTTTTATCTTATTTCACATTTTTTACACTTTTATGAAATAAAAATGAGGATTAAAAATTTAATTTAGCATAAATATTATTAGATACTATTACCATGTTATTTACTTAATATTAGTTATGATTAATGTTATAATTTTAATAGTTAATGAATAGACTTTTATTGGTGTGAAACTAAAATTGTGAATTTTATAAAATTTCAGAACTAAAATTGTGAAATTAAAAATAAAAAAATCATTCTAGATTGAATATTATAGGGTACAAAAGTAAAAATTAGCCAAATTCATAATACTTTAAATGATTTTAGTGATGTATATATTTTTAATTAAAATTTAAATTATAACATAACATGCATTTCGCATAGAAAGTTTTAACATTAAAAGTTACTACTAATTATTCAGATAAAAATTGAATTTAATTGGAAAACTAATAATGAAACACTTTATATTTAAGTATTGTTTATTAAACATTTAAACTAGTAATTTTTTACCAAATTGGATTGAGGCGAGTGATAAAAAATTAATTCTTTAATTAATTAAGAAGTCAGAGATCAAATTCTAACTCTTACAAATATATAAAAAAATCAAACTAATATTGTCTATTAAACTTCAAAAGAGATTAATATATCTTCATATTTGATATGAAAATCCTCCTTAATAATGAAAAAGAAATTAATAATTTTGGTTACTCATAACTGATAACTGTGCTTTCATTAGGATATATTACTTCTAACATAGTGATATATATATATATATATATGAAGAGAGATTCGTTTATTCTAAAAATAAATTTATATAAATTTATTTCGTTCAATAATTTATACTTTACATCAAATTTTAATGATCCAACTATTGAATTTAATGTTCTTAATGTATAGATCAAATTTACAATATTTTTAAAAAATTTAAAATTCATTTGATAATTCGTTTTATTAATTCAAATCAATGTATAAAATGATTTTATAATTATCCGTCAATTTAAATTAATAAAGTGAAGTATCAAATGATTTTCAATTTTTTTTAAAATTTGCAGATTGGATCTATGTATTAAAAGCTTTAAATTTAATGGTTGAATCAATTAAATTTGATATAAAACATGAGTTATTGAACTGAACAAGTCTAAATATACTTACTCTTAGAGTAAACAAATCTCTTTTATATATATATATTGGAAAAACATATGCCCGTTTTCCTTAATAAATTAATAATTATAAAATAATTCTTGTATAGTTGGTCGATCTCAAAAGCCAAAGATAACAAAGGAAAAAGGGAAAAAGACAAAAAAAAAACTCAAATTTCAAAATTTTCGCTCAAAAGTGTAGGCCATGTCGAGGTAGAACAGTTGCCAAAGACTTTTAACAAGTCAACATATTTTGGAAAATCCAGCTAGCTTTAAGCCTAAAATAGTAAAATATATACCTACCAATACCATGCCTCTTTCAGTCTTTCTATTATTAAAAAAAAAACCTAGTTTCTTATTAATTAATTAATCCGGCCATTATGTCTGCATATATTGACAAGAGAAAAAATACAAACTACAGACTTGGAAAAATCTCATATAAATACGTGACACATTTCGAGGCTTAATCACAAGCACTAACTATAAGCCTCTCAGCCCTTCTTAGTTTATATCTTTCAATTTCTTCTATAATTTTATTACCATGATACGTTTCTTCTTACTCTTTTGCCTTGTTGGGGTAGTCTCAGCACAGTTATCATCTACCTTTTATGCCAAAACGTGCCCTAATGCGCTTTCAACCATTAAAGCACAAGTAGTGTCTGCTGTCAACAACGAGCCTCGCATGGGAGCTTCCCTGCTACGTCTTCATTTCCATGATTGCTTTGTTCAAGCAAGTCAATTTTCACTTCCTCTTTCTTCTTTTTTTCCTCTTTAATTCGGTACCATACATACATATATACATATATGTGACTATGTGTATATGTATACATATATACATATATGTGTGTATGCATGCATGCTTGAAGTCTTAACCTAGCTAATATATATTTGTATGGGTTAGTTACGTTTACTGAACATAAAGTTACATGCGCGTGTTCACATATGTACACGAAAAATTAATCATTAGTTACGGGGAAAAAATATATATTTTATCATAACTATTCAAGCCATTTTTTTGACATAGTCATAGAATCATAAAAGTTCACATATCTTAACAAAAATCACGTACGCATGTTAACAATATAAGAGATAATTAACGATGGCATTAACTGTACTACTTAGCATTTCTTGAATTTGGTTCTTTCAGCAGTACAATTGTGCTCTAGCGTGATAAACTATTCATTTGTCTATAGAAGTAAATAATCTAACACTTTTTTATTTATCATGGTAAAATTGACTAATTGTGTGTATTGTTTTTTAATTTGTTTGATAAAGGAATTTTTTTATGGCTAAAAGTTGACTTTTCTACCAAAACAAGCATTTGTTTCCAAATTGGCAACAAAGTGATGTTGAGACCAAGTCCACATCATTTATGATTTAACAAAAAAGAAAACTTGAGAATCGTTCATTCATATATAAACTTCTTTTGTAAAATGAAACGACAACTAATTAAATTGAATTCGAAAATAATTCTCATGGGTTGTATAATCTATTTTTCACGGATGTGATGGGTCAGTACTATTGGATGATACATCAAGTTTCACAGGTGAAAAGACAGCGGGTCCTAATGCTAATTCCATTAGAGGCTTTGATGTAATTGACACCATAAAGTCTAAAGTAGAGAGCTTATGTCCTGGTGTTGTCTCTTGTGCTGATATTCTCGCTGTAGCAGCAAGAGACTCGGTTGTTGCTGTAAGTATATAAATATTTAATTTCAAGCCAAATATATTATATATTAATATAAAATACATATATATGAGTTAGGCACTGATATTGAACAAAATTCATTTTCAGCTTGGTGGACAAAGTTGGACTGTGCAATTAGGTAGAAGAGACTCAACCACTGCAAGTTTGAGTTCTGCTAACTCAGACTTGCCTGCTCCTACTTCAAGTTTAAGTTCCCTAATCTCTTCTTTCTCCAACAAAGGTTTTACAACTAAAGAACTGGTTGCTCTTTCAGGTAGTCAACCAGCCATCGATGCAGATTTTAATCACATAATTGATTATTATTGGTTGACATAAATAATAATAATAATTTATATCTCTTAATTAAATTATTTAAGATTTTAATTATCCTTAAATATATAATAGATTATATTAGAAAAAAAAAATTCATCTTGTGTATATTTATTATCTTCGATGAAGAGTAACAAAAATTAGTCACTATTTCTATTGCATGTAACACAATTTTTTTAAAGAATGTGTTGAAAAATGAAAAAAGAGTGTATAAGAATTTGTTTGATTTCCTTTTCACTTTCTAATTTAAAATGCATTAAGGTTGAATATAATTGGTAGGTTTAATTAGTTTTTTTTTTAAAGAATTTTTGACAAATGTCTAATTCTCCAATGTGCATATGGAAAAAATATTATTAAGAGTGATAAAATTCACTTCGATGATTTTTAAGTTTAAAATGAAATTAGTCAAAATCTATTAAATTTTTAAAATTGTTTAAAAAATTAGTTATAGAATAAGTTAAGAGATATTTTTGTTATCATCTTTTGTTTCATATATATTAATTATTTTTCAAGTATTTAGGAGATAATTAAGCTTTTAGAAAACAAAAATGTACTCATAAGACAATTCAAATATACATAAGAGATTTTTAAAACAGAGAACTGTTTTCGAAAAAGTAATATTTCTCTTTCCAACATTATATTTTATTTTATTAGGAAAAACCCAAGTCCCACATCGACTAGAGATTAGGCAATTAAATAGTATATAAGTGGAAAGCAACCCTCACCTTACAAGCCGATTTTGTAGGGTTGAGTTAAGCTTAATCCACTATTCTAACATGGTATCAGAGCCATTTAGATCCACTTTAAAAATGGGCCACCCACCATTGATGCATGCCTCATAGGCATGAGGGGGTGTATTGGAAAAAACCCAAGTCCCGCCAATCCTAGATCATTAAAAAGGGCCACCCACCATTTATCCACGTACCAAGCCTGATAGTGCTGGACGTGAGGGGGTGTATTAGGAAAAACCCAAGTCCCACATCGACTAGAGATTAGGCAATTAAATAGTATATAAGTGGAAAGCAACCCTCACCTTACAAGCCGATTTTGTAGGGTTGAGTTAAGCTTAATCCACTATTCTAACATATTTTTGGTACGTCTTTCCAACATTATATATACTTCTCCAGTTAATACATGTCAATGAACAAATGTTACTTTTAGTTACTATGTGCCTCAACCTTTTTCTCTAAAACCTATTTCAGGATCCCACACAATTGGGCAAGCGAAGTGTTCAAGCTTCAGAGCAAGGATTTACAATGACACCAACATAGATTCCTCTTTTGCAACATCATTGCAAGCAAATTGTCCTAGCACAGGTGGTGACAACAATTTGTCCCCTCTTGACACCACCAGCTCAACCACCTTTGACAATGCTTACTTCAAGAATTTGAAGAGCCAAAAGGGTCTTTTGCACTCAGATCAAGAGCTTTTCAATGGAGGATCCACTGACTCTCAAGTAAATGCTTATAGCAGTAATCCTGCAAGTTTCAAAACTGATTTTGCCAATGCAATGATTAAAATGGGGAACCTTAGTCCACTCACTGGCTCTAGTGGCCAGATCAGAACCAATTGTAGGAAGACCAACTAAGATTTTGGGCCCTCTTATTCTAATTATGAAACAACCCAATGTTTTGGGCCCTCTTATTTTATATGTTGTAACCTTTGCAGTTTAGGAGCAAAGTAAATGCTTCCTTAATTGTAATGATATAAGAATATCAAAGTCGATGATAATGTTTGGACTTGGTTAAAGCCAAATGTTTCTTAATCTCTCATAAAATTTATTTGACTATTGCTGTAAGAAATTAATTAATAATAGTATGTTTGGAAACTTGTTAAGAAATATAATTAATAATTTCTAGAAATTGAATAGAAGATGCAAAAATTTACTCTCTCCGTTTTATTTTGTATACTGTTTTCAATTTTTTAATTTATTTTAAGATTTAAATATTATTTTAATTTATCAAATTTAAGATAAATTTATTTATAGTCTTTCAAATTTAAAATTAACCTTTTAATTTCTATAATTTTCAAAAATCTTGTTTCAGTTTTTTAAAACATTAATAACATATTTAATAATGACAAATTGAGACAATTATATAACATTAACTGAGTTTATTATAATATTTTCACTAACAAAAACACTGAATATTCTATCAAACTTAGATATACCCTTAAGAAGCCATAAGTCTTACTATGCAAAACATAATCTAAAAAGATTGATTTATCTTCTTTTGAATTAAACTTACCAAGTTTTTCTTTCTTAGTGATTAAAACAAAACACTTACATCCAAAATAAGTTATTTTTATATTCAGTAAGTTAATTATTTTTTTTACTCATAAATATCAGTTATTTTAAAACTTATTGTATATTATGCATATAGAAATTTATTTACTTTTCACTAAACTTTGCTTTTTATCCTTGGCTCCCCTTAATCTAAGATTCAGTTAATTCGAGTTTCAACCCCAAACCCAATACTAACATAGAAATAAATTAAATAATTTTAACCGTACTTACTTCATTAGATCTTTTACTTATCCTAACTATACAATTTTGTTTCTTTGGAATCCAATTGCATGAATTAAGTGGTTGAAGTATTATAATTATATAATTTTATCTTTTAATTTATCTTTTACTATATAGTTAACAAATTCTATTGATGTGACATTAAAATTACATAGTTAAGAAATTTTGTTGATGTGACATTAAATTAATGTTAGCGAGAAATTAAGACAAAGTACAATTAAGTTAGTTCAAAACATCTTTCATATAATTAACAAAGTTTCCCTTTCACAACATTGTCCAATAAAACATGTGCAAAATGTATTTGATATTTAATGAAATAGTGATATTGAGGAATTAAAATTGTATAATTATAATATTAAAGATTTAATTTGTATAATTAAAATTTGGGAGATTAAAATAATATAATTCTACTAAGAAGACTAAAAGTGAAATAAAGTATGAAATAATAGATTATTAAGAAAACAAGTAGTTACTGACTTCATGGTTCCAAAGTTTCGAAGAAACAAAATCAAGGAAAAGATTTCAAAATATTTCGCTTAAATAACTCGAGTTTGAAAAAATAGTTGAAGAATGGTATAAAAATGCAGCGTAGAATTGTAGCCAAAATGGTAGGATTTTCAAAGTCAACGTATTTCTCGAAAAAGACAAGCCTAACACGTACAAAACAAATACAATTATTGCTCCAATGTCCACTCGTCTTATTTGATTCATTCACCCCTTTTCTTTACATTAGGAAAGTTCCGTCTACTCGCGTATATTTTAAAATTTAAGAAAATTAAAATTTAAAAAAATAAAGGGAAATTAAAAAAAAAAAGTGAAAGAATGCGAACGATCAAATCAAGTCAAATAATAATATTTTTTTTAAAATATATATTTAAGATTATGAAGAAAATATATAATTAATTTAAAATATCAAAACATTAGAGATTAAAAATCATTTTAATTTAAATCACATATATTAAAAATAAATAACTTCTATTTTTAATATATTAAACACTTTAATTTTTATTTAATGATTTTTATTAGGAATACATAGAAAAAATCTTTTACTTATTTTAAGAACTATTCCTGATTATTGGCTGCATGGATGCATATATTGACCAATAGAGAACAAAGACAACCTCACGTATAAATATGTGACTCATGTAAAGATCTATTCACAAGCACTAATCGATAATCATAAGCCTCTCAACCCAAAATACATAGAATTCTCATTAGCAAAACATGGCTACTACATGTTTCTCCATGACCATACCAATCTTCAAAATTCGTTTCTTCTTATTCTCATGCTTTATTGGGATAGTTTCATCTCAATTATCCCCTGATTTTTACTCCAAAACGTGTCCTAATGCACTTTCAACCATTAAGACCGCAGTGGATAATGCTGTGAAGAATGAGGCTCGCATGGGAGCATCACTTCTACGACTCCATTTCCATGATTGTTTTGTTCAAGCAAGTCATCTTACCCTTTCACCCATCTTCTTAATTCTTCTTATTAGTTTCTTAATTTATTTTTTTAAGTTTTCATTATTTTGTGTTAATTGTGTTTCTAACTTCTAATGCACATGCAATTGCATATTTACGGGCAGATACATGCAGACATGCATGCATGCATGTTTATCACGAATATATAATACACAAAGAAAAGCTTTTTTGAATTGCATATTTACATGCACACACGCATGCATGCATGCATGTTTATCACGAATGTGTAATACACAAAGAAAAGCTTTTTTGAATTACGTCGCAGTACTAAACTAAAGAAAGGAAACCACGATGCAAAATAGTTTGAAATTCTGGAAGGATTTCGTGGATATTGTAAATAATGACGAAGTCAACGTAGAATAAGTTTATTGGTTAAACAGGTTATAAAATGAGTGTTGGAACTATTTACATTAACGAAAATGAGGGATAGTTTTTGGGTGTGATAACTTGCATAAAAAGGAATTATCTATATGAACGCTTCTTTCTCCGGTGAAAGTGGCCAAAATGAAATGATAAGCATTAGATTTTACCGTTTTCTATTTTTATTCTCATAGAAAATAAAAAATAAGCACAAAAATTTGTTTGGTTTTAATTTTAGCTAGAAAACATTTTCTTTGAAAATGATTTCAAAAGAAGTCTAAAATTGAAAACAAAAAATATTATTTTCACTATTTTCTATATTTTTGAAAACGTGGTGGCATGTGATGGTAATTAATAAATTTTTTTACGAATTTACTTCTAAGTTTGCAGTTTTGTATACATAATTTAATTTTTTTTGTATATATGTAATTCAATTGATCTAGCTTATATATATATTTTTTTGTGTGTAGAGAAGTTTTGTTTAGGGTTTGCATATGTATTAATATTATAAGAATTATTAGATATAAGTATTCTATAGAATTTTAATTATATATGTTGTTAATATTATTTAATTAATTTAATTAAATATTATTTATTAAATATGATTAATATTTAGTGTGATTAAATTTTGGTTGTTATATTTTAAGATAAGTAGTATCAATTATATGTATATATATATATATATATTGTTTATAAATATAAAATATTTTTTTTTATTTTTTTTATACAATTATTTCTTGTTAGATAATAAATTGTTCATTTGATATATATATATATATATATGTGTGTGTGTGTGTGTGTGTG